GTCTAGAACACTTTTTGTAATTTAAGACTCAACGTTGACAAAACTTACAACATTTTGGGCATAAAGAGAGAAACATTGTCAGAATGCTCCAGCAAGCTTCTTGCAGATGTTGGATGCTGTCCATCACTGTGCACTCACTGGTCAGTAGGTCATTAACTTCATGCAGACTCTCACTGGTACATGTTCATCTTTAAATCACTTCTTGGTCTGCTGCCTTCATACATCTCCTACATATCACGTCGTCGGTGCAGTTACAGCGTGCGCTCTCAAGCCAGCATTACCTGCAGTTCCCTCAGTGCAGACTGAACTTGGCAAAAAGGCCTTTCTTACTCTGCTCCTGTAACCTGGAACACTTTGCAATAAAAAAAAAAAAAAAAAACTGAAGCCGTCAACTTTGACCTCTCTGAGGGATTTTTAACAATTGATAAGCTCAATTGAAAAATCAATGCAGACGTGTTCCTGTTTGTAATATCTTACCTTGCTTTATAATGTAGCTTGATTTTATTTAGTTTTTATTTCATATGCATTTTATGGCCGTTTATCGTTGTCTGCAACTTATCTGTGGTTTGTCTAAAACAGATTTCTCAGGAAAATGAGTCCTTGTGACTTCATGAGACTAACCTGTAGAAATACATTTTTTTTTGCTTTAAACGTACTGTTTTTCATGCAGACGTTGGCAAAAAAAACAAACATGCAGGGCAGCAGGGTGAAGAAAGCTGATGCCAACAGTCTTGATAAACTCATCACGAGAGCTGGCTCAGTTCTGGGAGTGGACCTGCAGTCTCTGACAGACGTGTCGGAGCTGAGGATGCTGAGGAAACCGCTCCAGATCCTGAACAACACGTCACACCCCCTGCACGACACGCTGGACTCTTACTGCAGCACCTTCAGTCATGAAACCACTGAGTTGCTCCACAGAACAACACAGGAAGTGCTTCCTCCCTGTGACTATCAAACTTTTTAACTCCTCCCACTTTCTGCACCACAATAAACACTTTTTCTGTCCACACCTGACCTGGTTTAGACCTTAATTGTTGGTATTTTTATATTCTCTTATTTTTTAAATTCTCTGTTCTTTTTTTTTATATCTCGTGTGATTCCTTGTTTCTTTGTATTGAAACTCCAGCTCAACAATTTCCTGTGGGATCAATAAAGTTCTATCTTATCTTATCATGTGTGTCAGGTTAGATATTTACTTGATAGCATTTATTGTCTTGGCTAAAGCTGCTTAATACCAGAGTTCATACTTTATGTCCCGAATGAATGAGTCAGGAATGCCAAAAAGTAAGAAACATCCATGTTAAGCAGCCGAATAAAATCACCGAGGACAAACAAGCGGTCAGAGCAAGAAACTGGAATGAATACCGATCCCTAAACATTTCATTTTCTTCGGGTTTTGGCTCAGACTCTGTCGTTTTAATCCTGAAGCGACGTGACTCGGAAGGAGGTGATTGTCAGGAAGGAGTTTTTCTGTACTTTCTAATTTTCTTGAGCTTCTCTTGTCTCACCGTCTCACCCTGCAGAGAAGAAAGCTCGGATACCCGATCGATGAAAGAGCGAGGCGCTCCAGTCATCGGGTCTGGATAGGAAGGAGCTGCACGAAGAAAACCTTCAAGAGGAAGAAAACAGAGGGGATGAAGTATGGAGGGAAACAATGAGAACTTTTTGCAGTGCTGTGACACAATGGAAATAAAACCAGAGCCGCTTTTATATCAACATCCTCGGTTGGAGTTTCTACACAAAATGTGTTCAAAGTTGTGTTCAAAGTGAAAGAGTCAAAACATTAACTCACTTTTCTGATTGTCTCTACCAGTCACGGGGTTGCAGGTTGGATAATTCACCTTGGGCCTGCGGATCAAAGGGACAGTAAAGGTGGCACCGAGCGGAGAACAAAACTTAAGAGAAGCTTTTTGATTCAAAATACCTGTTGATCTTGCAGCTCTCTACTGAGAACGAGTTCTTGCCATTAAGCACAAAAAAGGAAGGTAAGGCTGGACTCGGGTTCACCTCGTATCTTTTCGTATAGCTGAAAAAGAAAGTAAAAACTTTACGAACGGACTGTGTTTAGTACACGTTTGCCGACTGGGATAAACTCTCTGTGTCTACGTTAATATTAATTAGAAGTTATAGCTGCAGCTAAAAATATGCAGAAAGTACAGCGATCCACTGGTTTCACCTCAGGGTGAAAGGTCGTCCTGCACGGCGGCTGGCGAGCCCCTTGGAGAGGCTAAAGGGATGCAGGTTAGCAGATCTGTAGTAGTCACTGGGCAGGGGAGGAAACACAGTTCTGGTCCTGTCCAGGGAGATACCTAATCAAAACAAGTCAGTGTCATCAACTGAAATGGGACCAGTTCTTGTTGTGTGGTAACTCCACCTAGTGGTAGTAAATTTATACTCCAGCCACAAGCCTCAAATTTACCTCAATTAAAAAAATAGACCTCCTGAAGGAAATACTCACATTTGTTATCGAACAGGAAGCGTCTTCCTGATGTGTCGTTGTCCTGGTCAGTGCCCTCCGACTCCAGTTTGTCATCTTTGTTGGGAGTCCTGCACAGATCGAGGTTGTAAGGCTTATTGTTTACAACTGGGAACAATAGGGCACATCAAGCTGAGCACCAACTTATGATTATGTTGCAGTTTTATGATGAGTGGGTTCACTGGGTAAGACCATTGGCTTTAGTTTTAAGTTCTATTAGAACTCAAGTGGTCTTGTCAATATGAACTGAACAATTAAACTGAATCAAATACGCATGTGGTCGATCCTTTATTTCTTCCTTGATGCTACAGTTTATATTTCTGACCTTGTTAAGAAATTGCATTGACTTCTATTCATTTCTGTAGCCTAAATCCCCATCACCAAAAAATGGCATCCCACCATTAGAACCAATTGGTGCTAATAAGAACTACTGGTCTGTACAAGGTGATCGTTCCAGAAAAGGTCCTAAAATGATAAAACTATGTTTGACTTTGAGGTTATCCTTTCTAATTTAAGCCCAACATTTCAATACAAAAGCAATATTTTAAAGTAGTCAAATCAAATTGTTTGAATTGCTAATTATTTTATAAAATTATACAGTCTGAGTGTTCAATCTTTAGACTTGGGTAAAATATCAATAAACAAAATCTAATATTTTGCATAAGTAGGGTTGCAAACTGAATAGTGTGCAATTATACAATAAATAAAATGTGTTTTCTGGTTCTGTTTTTTTATACTTACCCTTTATTGATGAGGCTGCTGAACGAAGCTCTGTCGTTCCTGAGCTCTGCAACAGACATGCAACAGTTAAGCTAGCAGTCCGAGTCACGCTGAGTGGGAAGTTGATGACTTACTGTTGAAAGGTCGCATTAAAGGTAATTTCCTCATCTCGTTGCGCCTGAAAGCTCCTTCTCCACCTGCTCCCATCCCGAAGCTCAGGCTCATGTACGATGCTGGGAGTCCAGCAGGAGCACCAGGGCCGCAGCTAAAGCTTCTTTTTGATAGAGAAGCCACGGCGGAAGGTTATCGGTGATTTTTTTACCTGGTGTGATTTACCTGTTACAGCTGCTAGATATCTGCTAGAGTTTATCCCATCACAGTACATATAAATATTTACTCACTGTTGTGTGACGTTACGTCATATGCCTGAGCGGAAACGTCAAGCTGCGGCTTGATGTAGTAAAAAGCTCGATGCGTCACCATGGCAACAGGGTTTCATTCAGTGGGATGAAGGACCCGGGGGGCTGTCCACAGAGCGCCTGTCATTTCCACCACTTTACCCCGTTTTTTTTTATTTTAATGATCCTGCAACAAATTAAAGCTTTTAACCCTACTAATTTATGTTTAATTTAAAAAAAAAAAAAAAAAACTTGCATTTCTCCTTTTAGGTTTTATAAAAATTTCAAGTCACATTTGACAAGTAAAAAGAACGTTTTATGCTACATTCTATGTAGTTTTGTCAAAATACATAAACACATAATTGTCAACGTCAAGTTTAATCTCCATTACTCTAAACCGTAATTGGAATTTATTGTATATTTAGGACGCACGATATCGGCATAGTATCAATATTGGCCGATATTAGTGATAGTTAAATATCAGACATTCAATCAAAGTAGCTCGTCACAAAAGGCTCGTTTAAAAGTTAATTTTTAAATTAACTGTCACGTATATTTATTAATGCACTACTAATGTGCTTTTTCACTTGTGAACTGGTTTATATTTGTGAAAATTTACAAATTTGCATCTAAAAAGGTTAAATCTGGTCCTCTGGACATAAAAAAAAAAAAAAAAAAAAAAACGATGTCCAGAGGACCAGATTTAACTTTTTTTAAATTATTCTACCTGGATTATTGAGCATGCATCAGGATATTACAATTTTGCAGTTTTGAGTGTTGTCATTGTGTTCAGAGTAATGTAATGAATAAATGACATAAAACTATCCATTTTGAAGTGTTGCATCATTTTCAGCCTTTAGACATGTGGATTTGGTATCAGGCCAAAATGACAAACACCATGCAGAATAATGTAGTTATTTTAATTCCACAGCAGAGGAAGCTCTGTAGTCTCTGCAAGTAGGTCTAAGAGAAAAAATATCGGTATTGGTATCGGCCAAATACGTTTTAACATATCAGCTAAAAATCCAATATCGTGCATCTCTACTGTATATCCATTAATAATGAGATAAACACTGCCCGTTTTAACAATTATTCATACAAAATTAGTGACAACTAGAACTGAAATGGTCTGAATTTATTCATGCCTGAAAAATAAGGTTTCATTATTGAATCTTACAAACCACATCACATCCTTAATCTATCTGCAAGTTATTAATTTAAAATAAAATAAAAAAGTATGGCCTATTAGTCTACTGTTTTAGTCTTCCAAGCAATTTAGGACGGAACATTCTGGAGGAAAATGAAATTAGAATTATTGGGTTTGTCAGATGAGGATCAAGAAAACTTTTAAAATGTGCCAATAAAAAAAGGCAATTGATGAAGGTGCAATAACACACTGAGGAGACGTTTTTTGTCCACATTTTATTGTACATTTTGAGTCCTTAGAAAACCTGAAAAAAAAAAAACAAAAAAAAAAACCCATTAGAAAGACTAAACATTGGTCTACAAACTAAATGTCAGCAATCGTGTGCTCTGCTTCGTCTCTTATTAAAACAAAAATGTGGTTTCAGACACGTTTGGCTTAGTAACAGCTGGTTATCACCATTGTCGATAAGACGGGGAAAAAAGAAATACATCATTAACCACATTTCAGAAGTTTATTTCCACGACATCTCTCCAGCTTACCCGTGGATCTAGTTCATCCGTCGGATCATTCTGTTGATCTGGTCCTCCCTGTTGCCAGCGTCACCTCCCTCCACAAAGTGTGTAGTCTTCTTGTTCATGCCACCGCGGGGAGACGACAGTTTGAACGGCCAAAGGAAGTTGTTGGCGGGTTTAAAGTTCTTGCCAACTGTGTAGACCTCATGGATGAGGTCCTCAACGCAGATGATGCCATACTTGCCTGCAGAATAAAAAGTAGGGAGTTATGGAGCAGCTCTTAACGTTTCATCTCAGACATGAGGAATCTTAAATCTGACATGTTTATCTGTTCATCAAGTTCACTTGACTAGTACAGCTTACTGGTCCAAATGTTTCAATAATTCTGAACAGAAACTCATAACCTCCCAAATAAATACATTAGGCCACGTGGTTTCAGACACAACTGGCTAAGTTCAGTTTTTTTCACCAAAGTCGATAAGACGGGGAAAAAAGTGTGCATCATTAACCACCAGGTCTAAATGTGAAGTACAAAAACTGCTCCAGAATCGTTACATATAAAGCAAGCAACGTGCTGATGCCAATCACCTCATTTTACACAAGTAAAAAAACCTTCATACCGAGGGACTTCTCAATCAGAGCGTTGTCTGTGAGGCCAATACGCTGCTTCCTGATTTTGCCATGGCCACGTTTGTAGATGAGCTCGCGCACAGACTTCAGGTTGGGGTATCTGAGAAAATCATTAAAAAGTTAAAGGCGTGACTCTGTAGTAACATTTCCAACAATACAGGGACCACTAAATGCAAGTTGGATTACAGAGCCATCACATTCTCACTGGTAAGGTTGTGAAAAAAGATTTTAAAAAGAAAAGCTCTAAATTTGTGAAATATTTCAGAAACATGTTAAATTGCATCTTAAAAATCTAGAGCCTAATAAACAGAAGATCTACGAGTGGTTCAGATTTACCAACGGGTCATTTCAATAATAATCACAAGAAATTATATCTCATCTTTATCCTGTTTTAACTTTATACATTTAATACACACTGAAAGTAAGAAGGCACACTTTCAGCTATTTTTGCTTTGACATCAACAATAAACTTTCATAAAAAGTTTTTACTAAACTTCTTAGGATAATTCATCATGAAGCTATTATGGGATGGAGAAATTAAGTGCATTTATCAGCCTTTTGGCACATGCACTGATCATTTTAGTTTTAATGCTTTGTGAAAGAACCTAGCAGCTACAGAAATTACTTTAACAACTAGGATAACAAGAATTATGAATGAAAAATAATAATAATAATTAAATAATGTACTAGTGTGGGCTGTTTGAAGAGGTTGCTACTGAAAACAACATGCTGGGTACTGTAAACTGTCAAATGTTAGTATAAAAACAAACTATATGTTAAAGGGGAGAGAAGTGTACAACTATGCCTTCTTCAACTAACTTAAGAGACTTTAAATATAAAATTTAAGATATTTGTGGGATGATGAACTTATTCTCACCAGAATGTGTCCGATGTTACATTAAGACTACTTGAGCATTAAATATTTAGTCTTTTTTAGGGTCTCGTATCAAACTTTAAGTGTAAACACTGGGAGGATTTGTAAACAACCATAATAAATTTAATTTTAACTCGTCACCTTAACAGCATTTTTTCTGTTGCCATATTCAAATTAAACTTTATTACTTTGTGACGTAAACAAATGTTTCAAAAATACAATGAGTTTCAAACTAGTGTACATGGAAAAACTACTGTATAAATAGAAATAATGTTTACCACAGCAAAATCTGTAGTTTTTTGGGGGGAGGGGGGTCATGAAATGTGGTTTCAGACAAAACTGGCATAGTATCAGCAAGTATTCACCATAGTCGATAAGATGGGGAAAAAAGTTCAGCATCATTAACCACATTCCAGACCATAAAAATATAACGTTTTACAGATCTAAGTGTTCCCTGTCAAACCTTACCCCCAAGCAATGTAAGGCTCTGCAATCCTGAGCATGTTGATTGAAGCCTTGTTCAGCTTGACAAACACACCGTTAAAGATCTGGCGCAGACGGAGGAGCTGGAGGACTTTGCGGACTTTTGGGGGGACGCCGTTGATACTGGACAGTGGAGAAATATAACAATTAGTCCTGGGCTAATTAAAAACTGAAAGACAAACGGTACCAATAGTGGTTTCAGAAAATGTTGGCTTATGTTACAAATTTAGATCGTCATAGTCGATAAGTCGGGGAAAGAGTGCACATCATCAACCACTCAACCAAACATCTTGAATTAGGCATGTTTTACATGGATTGCTTTTTTAAATAAACATACGGTTTCTTTAAAAAAAAATAAAAATAATAATAATACTGTTTTACAAATGTGATCTAAACTAGTTGCTAAAATAAAAATCACATATGCAAGATCATTTTTTTTGGGTATGGTTTAATAAAACAAAAACAAAAAAAGGTTTTATTCTGAATATAGAAAAAGCTGTCACGTTAATAGCGGTTTGTGGAAACGCTGCTTTTTTGTAATCAAAAACATAAGACTGAAAAAAAACTACCACATTTACAGAAACACTTAAGCAATAATACACCCATTTATTAAAACTTAAAATATCACAACACTGACAAGACTATCTAAAAGCAGCTTATCTACTGAGACTTCCGTCTCCTGTATCTGCAAGATAAAAGCAGATGGCTGGTTCTTCTGAAGATTTCCTGTTGTGAGGGAGTTTTTCCTTTCCACTGTTGCCTTTGTGCTAGCTCAGGATGAGAGACTGCAACGAAATGAAGACTCAACGCAATCTACTGGTTTCCTTCCTTGGATAGATAACTTTACCAACTGGTCTTTATAATGCATGTTTTTGTACAGTGCCCTAAAATAACTTAACAGTTGTGGCTATAAAAATAAACTGAATTGAAAAAAATTATTGGAAGTTTAATATGTAGTTTGGGACTGAAATACAGTAAAATACTTTATCTGGTTTGCTCCAAATTCAAGCTTGGAGAAGGAAATTACATCTAAACTGTACAGTTTGAACATAAAGTTGCAGCAATCCATGTAAAGCGCACACCAACTTTGTTTAGAGCAAATGGACAACTCACCCTCTGATTCTGATGACAAAAGCCAGTTTGGGCTCAGGTGGAACATAGTAGTTCCCCACTTTCCGAGCCATTCTGGACAGGCGGATCTCACGCCTGTACATCTGCTTGTACTCCTTGTGGTACTTCTCAGCCCTCTTATAGATCAGTTTCCTGGTCACTTTGCGGACCTTAAACAAGATACATTTACAGGAAGGTCACAAATTTACCGGCAACTTCAATCTAAACGGCTGCATTGATCATAAACAGGCAAGAGCGACTTAATTTACCTTCTTCTCCGCCACCAGCTTCTTGATGCGGAGGGCCTTCATAGCAGCGTAGGCCTTTCGCCTCTTTAGAAGGCTCTCAGGGACCGACGGAACCTTTTTTCTGCCCAGAATAATTCAATAAATCAGGGCAGATACGAACCAGGTTGTATAAATTTACCAAGGTTAACGCTAGGTTTCTGAGCTGCGAAGACATGCTGCTGCTAACTGCCGGCTAGCTTGTTAGCCTTTCACTTTGTCGGCTTTAAGTAAGATCGATTCACCTAATATGATTATAAACAGTAATAATACATACAATTAAGTGCATTTTTATAAAATTTAAAACGCTGACAAACTATTTGTTGCACAAAAATTAACTGGACAGCCATGTTGTAAGCCGCTGCTAAGAAATCGCACTAAGTGACTATAAACAGTTAAATACTCAACATATTCACAAATACCACGGTTATTAATTTGTATAAGACTAAACTAACAGGAATATGAATAAAAATGCTTAAAAATTACTCTCTTAAGACTGGATGTGCTTAGATTTTATTGGAGTAAAAACACTCACTCTGCGTCCGCCATTGTGATCGCCGAGAAAGAGAAAATTTATTTTGCGCATGTGCGTGTTAAAGATTTTAGGACCTTAGAGGGGTGTCCTCCCTATTGCACGATACAAATTCAAAAAAAAAAAAAAAAAGTGACGTGAAACGTTACCAGTATGGATTTAAATAACAAATAAACTGGCGGAGTTATGCTGAGGACACTAACCTATCATAAAAATTAAAAGGCAAGCAAATGTATCGACGACACATATTCTGGCACACAAATTACCTAAATTATTTTTACAAGAAAATGTCTAAACATTTTATATTTTTTCAAATGATCAGCTTTAAAAACCTATTGTTTTACGTTTTATTCACAATATCACAGCTATTCATAATTAAAGGTTATGGAAATTACAGTATGTTGAGAAACAAATCTCAAACATAGCATGTAGTGCGCTTATTTAGCCGGGAGAGGGCGCGAACACCTCAGTCTGCAGAGGAGGATCGATGAGAGGGGGTTCGCAAAAGAAAAATGTTACCCTGACTGAGCAGTTCCACTGATGTTGAGGCTTCATACTCCGTCACAGATCACAACATCATGTAAAACACTGCAGAGTGTAAGGCATTTACAAATTGAAGCTAATTGAAAATAACTCAGATAACGTTTCTTCTACGTCACATTTGAATTTTTTTTTTATTTGCAAAATTATATTTAAAAATTTTTGATAAGACAAATTTTACCCTTTAGCTTTTCATGAGGCAAAAAAAAAAAAAAATCATTGATATGTATCTTTATTTTTGTATATTTATGGTTCCAAAAAAGCTTGACTGCCACAAAAGCATCAATTCAACAATTATTTTTAGCAATTTATTTTCTTCTTTCGGCTTCTCCCTTCTTCAGGGGTCACCACAGCGAACTAAGTCGCACGAAGACTTGGCAATTGGTTTTACGCTGGATGTCCTTCCTGATGCAAACACAGACCACTGAGCTACCACAGCCATCTGTGTGGAGCAGAGCTAGGGCTCCAAAGGGAACAGATGGTAGAGGTTAAGGGCCTTGCTCAAGGGCCCAGAGTGGAGTAAATGAGGGCGGAGGCAGGTGTGGGTGCTTCACCAATCCCACCCATGCTTTGATGTTGTCAGTACTGGGAGTTGAACCAGCAATCTTCCAATCACTGGCTCACATTCTCTAACCTCTGCGCCATTTTTAGCAATATTTTCTACAAAAGGTTTGGGAATCTTCCTCATATTTGAATTTGTTATTTTTTGAAGAAAACTATTTTTTCTTGCAGTTTAAACCACAGATTCCAACATAACTGCCAAAGGTTGCGCAGCATCAAAAAGATGTAGGATAGTTGTGGATAAAATAGATTACTACCTGGAAAATGGTGTTTTAGGGTTATTCAGCTAAACTGCTCAGGGCGCCACAAAGCCAAAAGTTCAGGGGACGGACATCCAGCAGTTGTTCTCTTTAAGTAAGTTTGTTGTATGATTTAAAATTTAAATTTATTTAAAAATGAACCAATTGGTGGGCCGAACTGAGCTCACCTCTGGGCCTGATTTGGCCCATGGGCCGCCAGTTGATAAAAATGCTGTTTCATGTGGAGAATATTTGCATTCAGGTCGTTTATTTACTCTTGTTTTAAATTCAGATCAATTTAAATTTTAGTCCATTTCTACTTTATACGGCTGAAAAAAGTATGAAAATCATATTATTAACACTCAAACCAAAGCTCCTTCAAAATGAGAATGAATTAAAGAAAACCAGTAGCTGTTTGTAGTCAGATCAAAGGGACAAACCGAAAATGGCCTTTAAATGATAAGACTGTTTGTTTAGTCTTCACACTGCGACCGATTAGTGTTGTAGTTACATCATCACCCGCTGAGCGCTCCGCTCCGTCAGCCGCGCGCTCTCATTGGGCCCGGCGCTGGATGGGTGGACTGCATAAATAGCGCGTGACACGCGGCTTCGGCTGACATGAGTGGAGCAGCAGCAGCAGCAGAGACAAATCCTATAACAGAAACAACTGAGCCCACTTTGTCCTCAGAACCCGCGTCCCTCTGCGTGCGCTCCGGAGCTTCCAACAGGTTGGAGAAAGACGGAAACGTCCTCCCCCCTTCTCCCTCTCCACCTTGCGCGTCTTCGATTTCTTTGACCCTGACGGCCAAGATGATGATGATCATCGCGGAGTTCTTCGTGGTTCTTCTCAAGGTGCTCTGGGCTTTCCTCTCCGCCGGGAGCAAGTGGGTCGTGCGGCCCAAGGAGAAGAGCGTGGCGGGACAGGTGTGCGTGATTACCGGCGCCGGGAGCGGCCTCGGCCGGCTGTTCGCCAAGGAGTTCGCCCGGAGACGAGCCATCCTGGTCTTGTGGGACATTAACAGCCAGGGCAACGAGGAGACGGCGGAGATGGTGCGGCAGATATACCATGAAGTGGACGCTCCCATCACCAAAGACGGTCAGTGAACGCCACCAGGCTTTACGCACGCGCCAAATGACCTCAAAGTCCGCTCTGTTTGAGAAACTGCGCTGTGAGGGAGCAGGGAATGGTTTAAAGTTTGAATGAACATCCACTGCCTTCAGATGATTTTCCCCAAATTGAAATAAAAATACTCTTTGCCGCCAGTGGCGGATCTAGATTTTTTTTACTTTAGGGTAAAAAAGGGGGCACAATTTACTGTAGCTTTCATCTGGTTTCTCTGATAATGAAATGGATACACCTGCTGCTCCACTTCAGAGCCAGTAGCCTCTTTCAGTTGGGATCAATACGAACTGTACAGAAATACATTATTTTATAGGGTGTCCAGCGCCACCATTGAGAACTGCCATTCAGTCCAGATCCAAACCAGTAAACTGTCCTCGGTTTCTATTCACAGGACCTGTTGGAGGGGTAGAGGAGGTCCCCGCCTTCCAGCCTCAGGTCTACACCTACGTGTGCGACGTGGGGAAGCGCGAGAGCGTGTATTCCACGGCGGAGAAGGTGCGTCGAGAGGTGGGCGAGGTGGACATGCTGATCAACAACGCCGGCGTGGTCTCGGGTCATCACCTGCTGGAGTGTCCCGACGAGCTGATCGAGCGCACCATGGTGGTCAACTGTCACGCACACTTCTGGGTGAGCTGATGTCGCTTTACTCCAGTAATGCAATTCTGAAATGCGGGTGTGCGCTCGACGTCAACAAAGCACTTTTCTACTCGGCAAACCTGAGAATTCATAAAACAACAAAACTGTCCCATTTCTCACTGGACGTGGCTCTTGTTGACGTATTCTCGGTCACGGGCTGTTTCTGCAGGTAAACAAACGGCTGCTTACAAATCTCCCACATTATCCATCAATGAGGACAAAACTGTGTGAATTTAGTTTCACTGATCTTCAAGACATAACGTTCCCAGGAATTTTTCCACTTCTGATCTTATCTCTAAGCCAAACTCAAGAATCAAAGTCTTTGTGGGGGGCGGGGGAGTGAAAGGAAGCCCATTTCTCGCACGCTCAGTTCATCTTCACGGGTTTGTCTTTCTGAATCCTTCTCTTTGAAGCTGTTATTATCCTCGTGTGACAGGAGCAGGGCTCTCGTAAGCCTCGGACCACATCAGCACGTTTTGTCGGCGTGTGCAGGCGGTTTTGATGTGCGTCTGTATCCGATTTTTCTTTTGGCTCCTTTGGCCTTGGACTGTTTCATGCCTAGATTCAATTCATTTCAAATTTACTTTATTAATCCCAAAGGGAATTTAAATGTGACTCGTCATCCTCGATTCAATAAGAGATGTTATAGATGCTGATAGACAAGAAGGATCTCTTGTAAAGATCTGTCCCACAGTGAATCAGAAGAAACTGGTTGCAGATGCCATCCAGTCCCACCCAGACTCTGCTGACCTCTCGGTTCCCCCGGGCTGCAGGATCGCCTGAATGCCAGGCTGAACTCCTCCGAGAGCGGTGGTCCCTCCTCAGCCTGCCGAAGTCCTCATCGCTGCAGAGAGCCAGCTGCAGGCGTCGGGAGATGATCCCAGTCCTTCTGCTGCCACGAGCCACGTTTCCTGCCAGTTCCAGGATTTCAACAGTCAGGCACTCGAGCACAGCCATCAAGGAGACGGGAATGCATCTTCGGCGCCTCCTTTTCAAGGGCTGTAGTTGAGCTAATATTTGAGCTTTGAGATGCTAATCAGCTGCTCCCGGTTGTAAAAAAACAAACGAACAAAAAAAAAACACCTTGTTGTCATGGTTACGCATCATAACAAATGTCCAAAACTAATAAAAGTTTTTCAGTAAAAGTCCTTCCAGCTGTGCAGCATCTGACACCAGAGGAAACGATCAACCCCAAAAAAGGTGATTTTACATCCAGAAAAAGAGGAATTTTAAAGTTTCCAAAAGTAAAACCTCAGAATGAAAGTAACAGAGCTGCTCCAACGTGCAGCCACCCCGAGCCGCACAACTCTATAACGCAACATTTCAAACAAACCCGGGTGGCAGGACCTCCATCCTCCTACACTGATAATTCATTCCGATAATTTTTTGGGTGTTTTTGTCTTTTTGCAAATTATGTCTCATATTTTAATGAAACTCTTAGATTGTCCTGTTGAAGGCTACAGTTTGATTTGATGGATCTGAAGCTCCTTATTGAGCGTGACTGTCAGGCAGTTTGTGTATTTCCTCCCTCCTCTGTATATCCTCGTGGATCCAGTAGTTGTGTGGCAGATTTCACTGTGTTTGTGTTCGCCAATATTCTATGGAGAGCGTGGATTCTTTAGGGAAGGGGTGGAGACGGGAGGGCAGATAAAAGAAGGCTCTAATGAAAGGCGACAGCCGGGATAGAGGATGTGGTTCATTAACGACACAAGCTGGAAGAATGGAGCTTAGACGAACACAGATCTGTCCACTTTTCTCGTACAAACAGTTACTCACCGCCTGCAGGTGCTACCTTTTCAGCCCGATTATATTTTCCTTTCTAAGCGTGCTTTTCAAAGGGTGCCTTGTGGTTTATGACTCATCAGAAAACCTAAAAGCTCACATGCTTCGAACGTTTATGTTTTGCGATAAGGCATTTCACAGAAAAGGATTTTGTTTCCAAAAATGAATTTTGAGCCGGACATTTAAATGTAGAGAAAAAGATCGAAGCAGTAGATCAGTTCCTTTAAAGTGGGGCACTGTGTAAAGTTATGAATAATTAATATCTTACCTGTTGTAGATAGCTTGTTGAACAGCCTCAGTTTGGAGAAATACTTTTATTTTTGACTGGATTAATGAGCGAATGAGGTTTATAACATAGTGTGAACTGCATTTTTATTTTTAAGCTTATAGTTTTTAGACCCGGACTAGTCTTTAACATCAGTCCGGTCAGAATTAAAGTAGTTCTTCAAACTGAAGTCATTCAAAGAGCCATTTACAACAGGTAAGATATTAATTGTTTATTAACTTTACATAGAACCCTACTTCAGTTGATCTTAATGCTCACTTTAATAAGTTTGCTTTTCATTTTATTGGAGGTTTTTAAGTCAGAAATGTGAATCGCTTGGGATGAATCGTCGTCTTTTTTCAACCAAGTCAATGTAAAAACTTTAGCTGCTCTCTCTTACTAAAAATATTTGGTAAAACACGAGTTTATTTACAACAGCTAGAAGATTCAAATCCTCCTTTTTCTGGATAAATGGACGTCAGTGAAGCCACAAAATGATCAGATTTGCGTTTTATGTTAGTTCTCGTTGTTTTGGGAGTAAGGCCGTGTTTGAGACCGGAGCAGGAAACGGATGGTAATAGTGTTGTGGTCGTCTGCCAAAAGCAGCTCAGACCCCACACTTCATCTCTGCCTCCTTCCACGGGCCCCTCTGACACTTCCCATCTGATTTGGAGGCAGTGGGCGCAGCTGGAACAGAGTCACCGAGGCCAGCTCTGTTCATCCGGTTCTGCCACGCACAAACACAAACTTATGATTCATTTATCTTTGCCCCCCCCCCCCCCCCAATTTAGGTTTTTACGAGTCAGGGTGAATTTGTCTTGATGCTTTGATTTGTCCAGCTGGTCATTTGTGATGTTGGGCGCTCATGTCGGCACACGAGGCTCATTGTGCAAGCGGCACGTTTGTGTGCAAGGATGAGTGGGTATCACATGGAATGACATGAAAGGAAAACATCCTCAGCATCTTGAGCTGCTTATTCAACAGGTGGCCTGTTAACAATAAACACTCGCTCCCTTCCCCGCTCCCACTCCTCCGGTGTACGAGTGGTCGACATGGCGGGAAAAGAGTAAGGAAGCCGGTGCCATCCCATCCACAGGCGAGGCGAGAGGGTAATGGTAAGCTTCTGCTGACCCACTTTATCTGACAATTGGTTTCTTGTCCGTGGATCAGTTTGACAAGATGCCAGGCGACAGGAGCCAAGTTCCGCAGGCCGCATTCCTTCTGTAGGCAGAGAAAGGAGGCAACCAGGCAGAAGGGTCCTACTTGACTGGTTTCAGAAAGGCCCCTCCTCAGGCCTAATGCACCTGTAGTCCACCGTGCGACGAGTCCTCGCCCTCCCATGTTCATCTCTCTGTAGGGCTGCAGTGATGACTGTTTCTGGATTAACTGAGCCAATAATCACTCTCTTCATAAAATGAATGAAAAATAATCAAATACAGATGTTTCAAACTATTAGGTGAGACCAGTATCCCCCAAATCTAAAGTTGCAACATTTCTTTTGTCTCATTTATTTCTTTGCAAAATTAAATCGTTTTTTTTTTTAAATTTAAACCACATTTCTTACACAGAGCAAACCAATGTGCTTTCCATTAGGAACCTAAAATATATTCAAACAGTTGTTTATATACTGTATTTTTCAGATTATAATGTGCATTAAAGTGCCAGTGATGTCAACATTTTGTAATAAATACAAATGCATTTTTGGAAAGATAACATTAATATGTTGCAAAGTAAATTTCAAGCTGCTAAGATGCACATTTATTGAAATATTTGCATGCACGATAACAGGAAGTGATGTCAAAGGGGAATGCCTGCATGTGAACAGATCGTTTCAACAATGGCTAACAGACAGCAGTGAAGAATCTGACATTTAGATTATTTAGAATTACTAACCGAGATGAAGAAGAGTCAGGATTTAGATATTGTTTCAATGAACAAAAGCCAGGAAGTTCCCTTTTTTTTTTTAAGCGTTCTCCTTTGATGTCACTTCCTGTCTCACTTTGGCTGCACCAAGTTTAAAGGAAAAGATGCCAGTTATGTGACAAAATTAATATTATGTGTATTTAGCCAAAAATTCTTAAATATTAAAATCTTTTCTTCAATTTTTGTATTTGTAAGATATGCATGTCACTGTCACTTTAAGCAAAATAAATAGACAGATTTTTGAGAGCTTTGTACCACATAAAATCGGTTCGAGGTCAGCAAGCACAACCAGAATTAATACATAAGGCACACTGTCTATTTAAAAAAAAATTGTTATTTTTAGAAAATTCAAGGATTTTAAGTGCGCCTTATAGTCCGAAAAATACGGCATACATTCACACAAAGTGTAATTTAAGTGTTATAAAAACAAAAGCAATGAAAATTTAATTAAAGGCTTTTGGAAAAAGGAAAGTTTTTACTTTTTGACTAGTTTGGAAAATGTATGATATACCACTTTATATTATAATTAACCTAAAGGATTGTCCAAAAATGTTTAACAAAGTATAAGTCGACATAAATAAACGAGGGGGGGGAAAAAAAAAAAACGAGCTAATATTTGTAAAAACTTGGAAACATTTCACACTTAGGTTTAAACAAGAGCACATACATTTTAAAATGTTTAAAAGCAACTTAACTCTTTCAATATAATACACAACATATTAAAATTCAGTTCTATGATGCATCGGTCAGACAAAATTACCCACTAAAGGAGTTAATTTGTCTCTTGAAAAAAAAAAAAATCTAGGTAACGTTTAATAAAAATAGATTCATGAAATCAGAAAACGCTTACGTCAAATTAGTTGTTTTTTTTGTTGTCAGTCAAGCTCTGTTGTCCAAGGCCAGGGAGAACTGTGGGTGTTGAGGGTGTTACAGCACCCCCTTGTGGATGACAAGAAAACATGTTCAAAATAACGTAAGTTAATAAAACATTAGTGTAATGCACATTCATAATTTTAATAATATTTTAAAGATAATGACATGAATCAGGGAAATTAAGTTCCTGTTTGGATCAGTTTGCAGGTTCTCGCAGCGAATCATCTGAAACACGTTCCCAGTGTTGGGGGTCCATCTTGAGTTTGAAACCACTCGCTCCTCATCGGTGCAGCTGCTTCGGTTCCTTGGATTCAGGTGGAACAAGAAGCGTTTCACACCAACGACCTTCATCGCTCATCCCTGAAGCTAAAACCAACCCAGCCCGCTCGAGTCCCTCATCCTTTGGTATCCGTTGGACGGTTTTTCTCTCCCTCGCCTTCGTTCTCTCATCCAGGAAGAAGTCAGACCAATTAAACGGCCATCTGGTCCGACCCGAAGGCCAATATTTTGTTCATATTCCTGTTGGTCAGGCGCTAGCACTAATGCAGCCTGACACCCCAGCTGCGAAAAGCTTTGTGTGGCTTAAATGCTCCTGGGGGCTCGGACCAATTAGGGGGTGCAGCGAGCAGGGCACCCCCACTTGGGCTAAGGAGGCCCGGCTGTGTCAGCGGGTAATTTAGCGGAACACGGGGGCGTTGAGACCCAATTACGGTCACTCTGATGTAAGACACAAGACCTTGGTTGCCTTCACACATTTTGTGTCTGGGAGGTCGGCGGGGGTCATCCCCGCCATGCCAGAGCTGCCATGAGAAGCGGGACATCGCGGCAGGGTGGGGGACGGGATTGGATGATCGAGCTCTTGCTCCGGCCACGATATGAAGGAACGATCTTTCCTCTATCAGTTCCAGGTAATACCCCCCACCCCCCTTCAGAAAAGACGTCCTGTTGATTGAGTGCTGGCTCTAAATGTAAACCGTTGTGCCAGATCAGGTCTCTCCCCCACCCCTTTTTTTTCCCTTCTAAAACCTGCTTTGGAAGCAGGAAAGCTTGGCTCGAGTCAGCTTTGGGTATATCTTAAGATAATGCTCCATTTGCATGTACCCCCCTCCCCGCGTTCTCTCCACTGCCATTCTGGCTCGTACAGGCCTTTCTCAGCATTTGCCCAGCCCTCGTGTTCTCTTGCTTCCCCCGTTTTGGGCCCCATCATTTGACGAGTTGAATATTACACTGACCTTAAAATTTATGTCCTGGAAAACTGCAGATGTTTGGATCCGAGTCAGATCAGCTCTACCTGGCTGAAGAATAAGCACAACCAATGAGGTCATCATTTTTCCTTACAACAGCCTCTTTTCTAGGTTCTTATTATTCATTTTTATTTACCCCCCCTGAATAAGTAGAACGACGTTTATAGACTGAAGATGTGCCTTAACGGGGATTAAACCTCACGTCAGTGGGTCCACTACAGTTGATCTGTTGGCGTAGTTTAACGAGATGTTAGTGATTCTGCAGCTGGTACCACCACTACCTGGTACCGGGCTGTTTCTGGCTCCGTGCTTCCATTCCTGTAAACGTTTATGAAGAAGTCCTGGATCGTGTCTCTGGCGAGGCTTAGAAACTGAACTGAACCATCCGATCATAATTTGAAACAAAGATCGAGTGTCAGCAGAGAGAATCTAAAACGAAAAGTTGAGATTTTGACGTGGGGGTCTGTGGAAACTGTTTTGACCTTACCGCTTTTATAAAGGTCAACGATTAATCCCAGTCTTGACTGGACTGATGAGTCCGAGCTGCTACCTGTTTTAGGAAAAATGTTCCAGTAGAAATGTATGTATGCAAAATTGACAGTAATTTAAAATGTAATAAAATAGTGATTGCTTAAATTGGCATAAAAAGTTTGAGAATGGAAGGTTGTTTTATTAAGGAGGCAGCAATCCACTTTGGACTTACTTGAACTTGGATATGCTGTCGGGTCAGAATGTTTCTCCAAACTGAGGTCATTCAAACAGCTGCTTACAGATAATTGTTCATAACATTTCCACTTCTAAAAATCTAAATTATAGCTTTTTCTTTTGCTAAATAATAAGTAGTCTTGATGGTTGCGTTTCTTTTTGGCTGCTCCTTACTTGCAGGGGTCACCACAGGAAATGAACACATGAAAGATTTGATCATTTTTTTAGGCCGGGTGCCCTTCCTGACACAACCTGGGCTCTGAGCTAGCACAGGCCCATGGCTACCAATGTTGGTCTTGCTACGCGTCCCACCTAAGCGGCTCACGGGTGGGGACTGGATTCACGTGACAATCAGCTGTAACCTTGGATGAACTTCTCACCACATCACTGACTCTCCGTCTGGTGGAACCAGTCAGGTTCTCATTGTTCGGCTGTAAACCCTTTTATCCTGCAGCTCGTCCCACGGATTTTTCCGCGGACTGTTTCTCAGGCTGTGAAGGTAGATGAGAGGCCGGATTGAAGTTTTTAGAAGTGCCGAGTGAGCGGCGTTGTCACCAAGGCTCGACAGCGGGCACCAGATCTGTGTGGGAAAAGCATCCCTCACAGCACATGCTTCTTTAAATACTCAATTCATCCTTTTTCTCTTCAATGTCTGATCTGCAAAGCATAAAAGTTATGTTTTTAAACCTCCACCATGCTCAGTCCCCCCTTCCCTCGGTTATGAATTTTCATTCAGACCATTCTTTCTGCATCACCATGGAGAAGAGAGAGAAACCAAGAGGGGGGGGAGGCAGAGACGATCAAAGAGCTTTGGCACAGGCGGACTGCACAAGTGAACTAACCTTCCTCTGTTTTTTCCTCCCCTTGCTCTTCTGTCTCCTCTGTCCTCCCCCCTCAGACCACCAAGGCGTTTCTCCCCAAGATGCTGGAGCTGAATCACGGCCACATTGTAACTGTTGCCAGCTCTCTGGGGTTGTTCAGCACAGCTGGAGTGGAGGTTAGTATCATACACGGCAACACAAACGCATCCCATCGTTCCCACCGTCTGAAGCCGGCGCCTCTTCATGCCGCGGTGCCAGCAAGTACACTGGGACCAACGAGGCTAGGCCCCTTTTCTCTGGTTGTCTCCCTATCCGTTAAATTAAGGAACACAGATGAGCGTTGGGAGTCTCATATAGATTCTTCTATCTGCAACAGCGGGGGTGTGGGGGTCCCTGGTGGGTGCAGGCCCCAAGGCCAAAATGAGCTGACAGCCCCGCAAGGGACAGACATCTTCATCACTGCTTTGTGGAAAACTGTGGCCCTCACTCAGTATTCAGCTCACAGACACATTCAGTTGATATGGTTTTTATTTTTTCCACATTCTAATGGGTATTATAGCTTCTGATTGAGTAAAAAGTAGCAACTTTTTTTCTTGGCTCAGTCTCTTCCTGTGTTTATTGACATTCATCCGTTTGCTGAAGCCGTTTTTTTTCTTCTAAATAATTCCACGGTGAACCACATCAAAACCTTCCTGACTCTCAGAGCAGCCTCCTAATGCACCAGAGAAGAATGCTAATGAAACTGTAGAAAAGCTGTTAGACTCCCTCAGGTTTTCGTGGCTGTATCATTACCAGCAAAGGAGAAACCTCTGAGCCCACGGGGCGTGTTTTGATAATGTCCTCCTGGTCCCTGTAGGTATGGCCGAGGGGTTTCCAGGGCTAATCTGTCTCTCTTTTTATTCCCTTCAGGATTACTGTGCTAGCAAGTTCGGAGCCATCGGGTTTCACGAGTCTCTGAGCCACGAGATTAAAGCTTCGGAGAAGGACGGCATCAACATGACTCTGGTGTGTCCTTACCTGGTCGACACGGGAATGTTCAAAGGTTGCAGGATAAGGTTAGCATCGACACAAACCAGCAGGTGGAATTATGTGTTTGCACCTGGGATGAGTTAGTTGTTCGGGATCCTCACTCCATAAAACTGCCTCAAAAACTCAATCTGAACTTCAAAGCAGATGCAGACAGTTTGTTGTTGCAGTTCTCGTAAAGTGAGTTCTGCTCCATAAGTCAACACTCTGAAACAAAGAGGGCTACTTTTCTTTCCCAGGGGAAAACCTCAAGAACAGGTGCACCTGGCCAACACTCCCACCCTTTTTCCACAAACTGCAGCTGTAATGGTCCTCACTTTGTTTGACGGTTGATTCTGCAGGTGGCTTTACTGTGTAACCCCCCAACCTATTTGGGAACAAAAACATTGACAATATATAACCTCACTTTAAGCCTTTATCCCTCCAGTCTCTTAGAGACTTCATTTGTAGCTGCTTTTTCTAACCCATTTAATACTGAAAAAGTTCAAGTCAAAAACAACCGTACTTTGTAACTGAAGACGTTACACTTCTCATCCGAGGAGCTTTCTCAGTTCAAAGAACAAGGAGGGTGGGGTTTGAGTTATAAAGCTGAGGAAAGCTGGATACATATACAGATTGCCCTATCATTTTTTTTTCTTTCATTTACCATTTATTTATACAGGTAGTCTCATTGAGCCACGGTAACTCATTTTCAAGAGAAACCTGTTTAGGGAGCAGATGGGAGTTAAGGGCCTTGCTCATGGGTCCAGGGTGGGGGCAGGTGTGGGTTCTTCACCTACCCTACCCACATTTTTTGATGTTGTCGGTACCGGGGCTTGAACCGGCGATCTTCCGATCACAGGCTCACCTTCTCTAACCTCTGCGCCACCACTCCCCCACCAAGTTCAATCCTCACAATAAGGGTTCGTTAGGGTCTTTGTTAGTTTGACACACAGATGGGTCACTCTGGTCACATGGATGACATTCTGGGTATCATTCCTAAAGCTGCATTATAAGTTTTTGAAAGTTTGAAATCTGAGACCTCCTCTGTTTAAAGATGGTTTCTCTCATTTTACCGAAATAGGTTCCTTCACCCCCCTCTCAAACCATCTTGTCTTCTTTGTCTAAAATGGGAATATTTTGGTCCTCAAATCCCTTATCCTTAAGGTTTAAACCCATTTAATAAATTTTGCTAAATATACTAAGATTTTATAAGCATCGTTTCTCTTCTGGTGTAGGAAGGAGATCGAGGCCTTTCTGCCCCCCCTAAAACCAGAGTTCTGTGTGAAACAAGCCATGAGGGCCATCCTCACAGACCAGCCGATGGTCTGTACACCTCGCATCGTCTACATGGTGAACTTTATGAAAAGGTGAGCTCCACTCTTTTACCCACTCAAGTAAAAATTCATGGGAGTGGCAGCGTTAGGCGAGATTTGTGGCCACCATCTTGCTAGGTGCTACACCTGTTACTGTGTACTGTTTCCGCATGAAAGCCACATGCTGTATTATCTGTCCAAAATGCATACATCATGAGTAGTCTGGTTTTATTTAAATAAATATACACGATGTATATTGTGAAAACAGGAAATGAGAAAGCACTAATGTTCTGCCCACCAAGCACAATCAATGTTGGCATTGGCAAAATGTTACCCAATGTGATAAATCCACAAACACTGTAATTATCTACAGAAATTAAGTAGTACAGGAGTGCACTTTAAGTAATTAAATACTTTACATTAGTCTAAAAAGAGCTCTGCTATCAGCATCTGTATTTAATTACAGTTTAAATAATAATCTAAAGTTGTATAATGTAGTGCTTTCCTCAGAATTCAAGGAGCGCTAACCTTTGGAACAAGGATTTATTATTATTTTTTTTTTTAATTTGAGTAATTTAAAAAATTCTCAGTCTAAAAAAATCTTAAATTATTCGTAGGTTGCTGAAATCTGGCTATTTATTACCTGCTCTGGCAACAAGCTAGTTTTGTTTTCAAGAGTGCCAGTTTAAAAACTTTATTTTTATTAGTGTGAAGTGATTTCATCTGTGGCTCCAGCAATATATTTAAAAAGTAGCACCCTTATCTTTACAATGACGCCAAACATTATACATAGGGATTTCCCAGCACTACAGCAGCCGGCAGAGAAAAATGGTTAATTTAAAAGAAAATCAAAGGATTAGAAATAAAACAATATTTCTGAAGATATACTTGTTAAACACATTTGATTTACAGATAGATTAGAAAGATGACAGTAGTCCCTCGCTACATCAGTTTGTTTTTCGTGGACTCGCTCTATCGCGGTTTTTCAAAATAAGATTGGCCATGACACATAATTAATAATACTTGATACTTTATTTATAAAGCCCTTTAAAACAACCAGAGCTGCAGCAAAGTGCTGCACACATAAAATCAAGAAAATTTAAACGCATAAAAATAAAACGGCTGGTAAAACATTAAGATCAATAACAGTGCAGAGCAAATTCAGTCTGTGCTAAAAGCCATGGAATAAAAATATTTTTAAGAGTTTTAAAAATAATTGGCTGATTAATGGATGAGTTGCACGATCAACATGGAATTTTTATACAAAATAAATAATTTAAAATTATATAGCACCTGCTGCACCTGTGTGCAGCCCACAGCTGCAGGACAAGCTTCCTCCTGCAGCGTGCCATCTTCGCTCTGCAGCAGAGACGTGGGCGTGGCCGAGAGCGCTGGCAGAGCACATGTGGAGGCAGAGAGAGCTAAAATCATGATATTCTGTGCTCTTTTAGAGCAGGGGTGTCAAACCCACTTACAAAAGGGGGCCAAAATTAAAATCTTTTTCAAACTAAGGGCCGGTTTCAGAATCTACATTAACTCAAGTCAGATACTCGACATCTTTTCTTGGTTGCAGGCTCCTCAGCAAGAGTTTGATTGGTCTCATTTGACGTTCTCTGTTGTACTTTTGACATCATAATCAAATATTACTGAAAAAAAATTAAAGTAATAAAAGTATTTTACATTTAAAATAACATTCAGGGTACGGATCCCCCGCGATAAACGAGGGACTACTGTATATGCCAATTTAATTATTAGTATTTTATTTTACTGGAATTGATAGTCATTTTTGCCATCTCAATTACAGCAAAAATCAACATTTTCCACATATTTTGCATTTTTCTACCCTCGATCCGACTCATTTTGCTAACACGGGTCACATTCAGGCATGAAGACCTGAGCTTTGGTCTAGCCTGAACACTTATTCACTATTACTTGTTTAAATTTGACCCATAAAATAGACCCAACAGACTAATGGTTATTATTTAAGACAATATGTGACTAATATTGATTCTATATTTTGTTAGTTGCTATATGCAACCCTTCAGTGCTCCGTTTCACTGACTCGTCTGAGGTGCAGGTTCCACTAATTATAACTAAATAATGACAAAACACGGGATTCTTTGAGTTTAATTTTTATCCAGAATAATAACTGAGTCCATTGATTGTGCTGTGGTGGGCCATTCCAGTGTATTTGTCAGTACTCATGTACCCAACCTTCACCCCCCCCCCCCACCCTCCATGTCTTGTCCCCACAGTATCCTGCCCTTCGATGCCATCGTCTGCATGTATCGATTCTTAGGCGCCGACAAGTGCATGTACCCTTTCCTCGCGCAGAGAAAGGAGGCGATGAACAACAACGAAGCGAAGAACGGGATCTAGGGGGGCACTGTTTACAACGGGGGGGGGGGGGGGGGGGATTTAAACTGCAAGCTTGAGGAAACAACCACTGGGGATGGAAACGGAGGAGAGAAAAGACGAGAGACTCTTAAAATGGTGCACTTGCATTGAGCAAATGCAAAGGTTTACCATATTGTTCCTCTGGGACAAATAAAAAAGCTGCGTACTACACAAAGGATTTATTTTTGTTTGTTTGAAAGAAACCAACATCTATATAAGGTCACTAGTTTTGAAATCATACAGAAAAGGTATTCAGCAATTAACTTTTTACATAATGTAGTCACCAGCCTTATTTAGTGTCATTGTGGAAATGTACAGTATGTTACTGTACAAACAGTAATCTTGTTTCACTTGTTTTTGTAGACATGCACTGTAATTTCTAATTTTTTAATGTATATTCAGATTTTTTTTTTTTCCCCTCTCAGTTTTTTTTAACAGTTTCCCAACATCTTCCCTCCACACAGAAATTGTGTTTTCAATCCAACTGAGGCTCGTGTGTCGTTTTTAAAACAAATTTTCCCATATTTTACTTTTGGTAAATGTGATTTAGAGACTTCGTGTAGTTTGATGTTTATGCATTCCAAATGGGACATTTAATGGCCAGGCTGAACAGTGTTCTGTCTGTCATTGCGCTGTTTTGGTAAATTTCTTGTTAGAAAAAATAATTTTGTCAGCCCGGGTTCCTTTAACACATTGCTGAATGTATCATTTGAGAAGAATCATTAGTGTTTTTTTTTTTTTCATTTGTGTCGTTTTTAGCGTGTTCAAATTGTAAATTTATATTTTGCAGAGGGAAACGGCCGCCATGACGGTGCGATTGGAACGAAAATGTGTCTGAATTCTTTCTGACCACTTAAAAATGAAATGTTTAAATGTTAACACTCCTGGTTCTCCCAAAATAACGCTCCCATCACGTTTTGATGTCTGAATATTTTTATATGCGTTTCATTTTGGAAAATAACTGTTTTGAGTTTTAACTACAACATTCCAGTAGGCATCAATCCCTCGGTTACAGTGATGAGCCTGAAATCTCTACCTCTTTTTATTTTTTGCCTTTTTATCTTTATTTTACAGTATAAGTCTCTTTTTGTAATATCCTAAAGACTGCTACGTCAGAGCAAATGTGGTTCCAATGTTTAGTGTCTCTACCTAACTTAAATTAATAAAGTGATTTAGATTATTACTCTGTGTATTTTGCTTGTATTTGTGTACAAATTTGTATTTTGTTAATCAGAAAGAATCACAGAAGGTGGAAATTAACGAAGATAAAAAAAAAATAAACCATCAAAAAAGGCCAAAATTAGCAGAAAAATACCCAAAAAAGTTGTTGAAAAGGCTGAAATTAGCATAAATAAGCTGAACCAAAACAAAATCTGAAAAGAGAAAATTACCTCAAAAAAGTAGCTGAAATTAGCAGAAAAAAAACTAAAAAAGAGCTGAAATTAGAAGAAAGCTGAACCAAAACAAAATCTGAAAGGAGGAAAATACTAAAAACAAAAAAAAAATTTGCTAAAAAAGCTGAAATTAACAAAACAAAGGCTAAAATTAGCAGAAAAATACAAAAAAAAGTAGCTGAAAAGCTGAAATTAACAATAAACAGAGGCTAAAATTAGCCAAAAAAATACTAAAAAAAGGGAGCTGAAAAGGCTGAAATTGGGGGGGGGGGGGTACTGCTGAAATTAACGAGAGAAAAAAAAACTGAAAGGAGCTGAAAAAAGCCAAATCAAAACAAAATCTGAAAGTAGTAAAAGTTTTGAAACAGGACAAAGGGTTTTTGAAGAAGGTGAAAAGCTTCATTCGATTTAAATGTGAAAAACATGGCCGAAAAAGCTCAATATTTCAAAAAGTAAGAATTCCACAAATACTAAAAAGGAATAGCAGGAATGAGCCGAACATTCTGATGTATGAATTGTTGAACTAGCTCAAAAACTGCAGACAAGTTATGTGCCTAATATCGTTTGGAAGAAAAATGGATTTCAGCAGATTAATAAGCAATAATCACACAATTAGTCACCATTGTGCTGAAATGAAACAGTTATTCAGTAGGAAACACATTTGTTGCATGGCCACTGGCTATTCTGTGAATCACCCGATGAGTGACAGGAAAGGGGATCTTCCTCCACACTGAAACTGCTCTGGGAACAGTTTTCATTGTTAGGATGACATCCACCCAGCCCTTTTCTTCTCTACACTACAACTCTATTGGCTGCTAGTATCAGTGTCCCTGTGTGCACACATTGTGCTGCACGGTGAGTCAGTCTTTAGATATGGGTGTTGGCTAAAAGGGACAGTGCAGCCTTTTTTTTTAAAGTGGGATAGTATGCAGTACTGGTGAGATTTTACCTGCAGCAGTGAGCAGTCCGTCATCACAGTCTGAAGAATCTGTCCTCAGGGAAGAGTTCAGCTAACTGCTACTAATTTCTTCCTTTAAAAAAAGTTCAATTAAAAAGCTTTAAAATCGTTCAAGTGAAGGTTGTGGATTTTGATCAGACAGTTACGTGGTGTGATCTATTTTGCAACACAAACATGTTGCAACAAACTGTGGATTGTGTCCAACATGGTCAGCGTTCAGTGGAAACGTCCAGACGTCCAATGCAAAAGCAGCAAAACATGCAAAATTGCTTAAAAAAAATTTGAAATGACACTAATTTAATCTACCAAAACAGAAGAATCTAGTTTTTAAAGGTTTAGAATGAGGTTAACACTGCACTACATGGACAATAACCACCTAGTAACGTACTAATGGTTCGTCACCATTAGTTATATGACATCCAAGTCAAAACGCAGCTGCAGTACTTCAATACATTAAATATTATTTAGAACAACTTTTAGCAGCAACAGCTGTTGTATGAGGACCTGCCATCAAGTCCTTATGATTCAGTTTCGACAAATTACTTTAGATCTCCGAGATTTGCAAATGTTTGCTCACAGACACCTCACTGAGGACATTGATGCAAAAACGTAGTCACTTTGGAGTGAACCTCTACCTGACCTCAACACTTGGACTTTTCCAACTATCAGTAGAACTACTGCTGGGCTCGGGATCCTTGAATAAAAATGTCAGGTAGACAGCGTCACATTTGACTCTAGGTTGGGTTTACCATATTTTTCAGACTATAAAGCGCACTTAAAATCCTTTAATTTTCTCAAACTTCAACAGTGAGCCTGATTCATTCAAACTTTATTTATACGGGTTAATCCCATTGAGCCTCGGGGACTCATTTCCAAGAGAAACCTGATTTATTTAACAAAGAGAGATGACAACAGTGGATAACAATGATAACATTAGACAGTCTTAGAAGAGGCATACAAATTATTATTATTTTTGCAAATTAAAATAAAATGGCAACAGTCAAAAGGAAAAAGTAGTGAAAAAAAACCCCAGGTAGATTATAAGGCGATGTAGAAAACTAAAAACAGGAACATGTCTGCATTGGTTTTTACCAGAAACGTAACAGATGTAAGTCACTTAGAGAGGTCAAGGTCGAGAGCTTCAGATCTTTTTGCAAGATATTCCAGGAAACAGGAGCGGAACTCACTGAGGGAACACTGCAGGTAATAATGTCCTGAGAGCGCACGCTGTAGCTGCACTCACACAGAGACATGTAGGAGGAGATGTATGAAGGCAGCAGACCAAGAAGTGATTTAAAGATGAAAATGTACCAGTGAGAGAGTCTGCGTGAAGTTAATGATGTTCAGTTAACCAGTGAATACAGGGTGCAGTGGTGGGTACGGTAGTTACAGCCAGTTATGAATCATAGTGCACCATGATAGACAGCGTCCAACATATGCAGAGTGCTTGTAGGAGCGTTCATGTTAATAATGTCACCGTAATCAATGGAGGGAATGAAAGTCACAGTTACAAGGTGTTTCCTAGCATTCAGAGTTAGACAGGATCTATTTCTGAAAAAGAAACACAATTTAACTTTCAGTTTCCTTACTAGATTTTCCACGTGAAGCTTAAAAAAAGGACAGATGCGAGTCGATCAAGATACCCAAATATTTATAGGAATCAACAAAATCAATAGGGACACCATTTGAGGATAAAATAAGAGGAAGAACTGCTGGAACTGACTTCCTGTTTGAAAAAGGCATCCATTTGGTTTTATCTGCATTTAGGACAAGTTTGAGACGGAACAAATCTGACTGGATGTTGTCAAATGCAGATTGTAAAAGCTGGAAAGCCTTAGCAACTGTTTTAGCTCGACAATAAACAACTGTGTCATCAGCATAGAAATGTATGGATGCACCAGGGATACTCTGACCTACATTACCTATTTAGATTGTAAAGAGGGTGGGTCCTAAGACTGAGCCTTGTGGCACACCATAATTGACTGGAGGAAGCACCATTATGTTGAACACATTGCCTCCAATCTGAAAGATAGTTGGAGAACCAACCATTGGTGTGATCTGAGAAACCAATTTCTGAGAGCTTATGACACAAGATGTTATGATCCAGTGTCAAAAGCTTTAGACAGGTCTAAGAAAAGTGCAGCACAATAATCCTTAGCATCCAGTGCTTCAACAACGCCATTAAGAACCTTCAGTGAAGCAGTTGTTGTGCTGTGTTGATTCCTGGAACCAGATTGGAGAGGTAAGATGTTAAATGAGTCCAAATACCTTTTGAATTGAGAGTTTATCAGTTTTTCTCGAACTTTGGCTAAAATGCAGTTTAGAGATTGGTCGATAGTTGTTCAGTGAGGTGGGGTCACCCCCCTTCAGCAAAGGAAGAACAAAGGCTGTTTTCCAAGCGTCTGGATGGAGTTTTGGCTGATGGACTGGTTAAAGATGTGGGACAATCAGGTGAGATGTGTGATATTCCGGTGCACCTTATAGGCCAAAAAATATCGTAGTTTTCAGGAATCATAGTTGACAACGACTGTAAGGAATAAAGGCTCTGTAAGTCCAGAACAAGCCCACATCATCATCCCTCCACCACCGTGCTCGACGTTTGGTTATGGGACGCTTGTGCTGATATACTG